CGTGCCTTCCTGCTCCTGACCCGACTCCCCGGGCCCCACAGGTGGCTGCCACCCTCAACAACCTGGCCGTCCTCTACGGAAAGCGCGGGCGGTACCGGGAGGCCGAGCCCCTGTGCCAGCGCGCCCTGGAGATCCGTGAGAAGGTCCTGCCCCGCGCCTGTCCCGCGGGCCCCTCCCATCTGACCCTGAAATGTTCAATTTTGTGGCTCTGTGGCCCCAAACCTGTGAGCCCTGACCTTTTACACCGCCTCACGGGGTGTTGTGGGCTAACCATTTAAGCCTAGAGCACCTTTTACGCCGCTTCATGGGGTGTTGTGAGCTAACCATTTAAGCCTGGAGCACCCATTCCCAGGAGCCACCATGCTTGACCTGCCCTGCCCTCCGTTCGACCTTGACTCCGACTCTGACCTCTCCTAACTCACCTCTGTGCCCCAACCTGGTACAACCCCTCCCTGATAGAGTCATTTGAACCTGCACCCCAAGGTCCAGGTGGTTTCTGGACCACCGTGACCTCTGACCCGAGGAAGCTCCAGTGGGTGTAACTTCAGCCCAACCCCCTGCCATTCTCCACTTGGATGCTGTAACCCCTGGCACGTGGCCCCGGTGATGGCTGCTGGCGTGACGCGGCTGACAGTCCCGGATGACCCCTAGGTCCTGGGCGCCGACCACCCGGACGTGGCCAAGCAGCTCAACAACCTGGCGCTGCTGTGCCAGAACCAGGGCAAGTTCGAGGAGGTGGAGCGGCACTACGCCCGGGCCCTGGGCATCTACCAGGCCCTGGGCGGGCCCCACGACCCCAACGTGGCCAAGACCAAGAACAACCTGGTGAGGCCCTGGGTGGGGACGGGCACGTGCAGGGTGGGAGGCGGAGGCCAGGAGCCCCCTCGCCAGGCCGGTGGAGAAGGGGCTCCGAGACCCCAGCTGGGCCCGGGCTGGTGAGAGCGGAAGCGGCAGGAACGCAGGTCTGGTGCCAGGGAGCAGCCCCGGGAAAGAAGCTGGAGACGGGCCGGAGCGGGGACAGCACCAGGCGTTTATTGAGCCTGGATCCCTTAGTGCTTCCCCCGCACCGTCCATTTGCTGCTGTTTGTTAATCCTCACTGAGGATATAGTTTCCATTGTTTTTTTTGTGTGTGTGTTCTTTAAGAGAGAGTGGAGGGGAGGGAGGGAGGGGGAAGAGAGAGAAAGATCAATGTGAGAGACACATAGCCATCAAATCTGCAACACAAGCATGTGCCCTTCACCGGGAATTGAACCCGGACCTTTCGGTGCATGGGCTGGTGTTCTAACCACTGAGCAGCACACCAGCCAGGGCCGCACCACCCATTTCTCAAAGGACCCTGGGAGGTAGGTGTTCTTGTGGCCCCATTTTGCAGATGAGGAAACAGAGGCACAAAGGAGAGCAGGGAACAGGCTGAGCCAGGAGGCCCCCTGCCCTGGTCACTGAGGCAGGAAGTGGTGGGGCTGTGAGCTCTGCTGTTAGGAGGTCTGGGTGGGAGCGGCTGGCTGTGCCCGGTCCAGAGCGAGAGCTCCGGAGGAGCCAGAGCCGAGATCACCGGCCACGCCCCCGCAGGCCTCCGCCTACCTGAAGCAGAACAAGTACCAGCAAGCGGAGGAGCTGTACAA